TCATGTCTATAAGAATATCCACTCCACGAAAGTTTTTGACTAGCGTGATTCAATTTGGAATTGAACATCTTGTTTTTCATTTTCGCTCACGAAAATCCACTCCTTCAACCAATCAGCTGGAACACGCAAACTTAAGTTTGTCCAAAGTAAATAGAAAAGTTTTTGGGTTGTCATCGCCAGACGCTGATTGTGAATTGAATAAATTCATTATGGAGTTCAAACTTTTTTGACGTCCATTCCATGATTATTTCTTTATCAATCTGTTATGATTCTACAGCGTTTATGATTCGCAAAAGTCTGAAAATGATTTCGAGAAATCTATCCATCGACAACAAACAAGTCCTTCCACTATAGTCACCCTACGAGGTCTGGTGATTGACTTTATCTTTGGACTTTCTCTTCCTCCGACAAATTTTAGAACCCTGCCTCAATAATTACGTGAGATACGGGGGTGCTTCCATAAAAAATGCGACAAAGTTTCATTTTTCCGAACTGAAAATTTTTCAGGGAAAATTTGAATTGTTAGTAAATTTGGCGTCCTGATTCCAAATCTGAAGTGATTTTCGACCTATTTTGACTCCTAATATCATTTTCCGGAAATTGGGGTAGTTTCATGGCTGTTGGCGAGCAGTGTTTATCACTGAAGATGACCCCACTTGGTCATAGAGTGTATTTTTGGTATATCTCTCGCTCTAGCAAATTTCAGGATCCTTACCCAACAATTACGTAAGATACAGGGGTGGTTCCATCAGAAGTGGGTCACTCTGTATAAAAAAGGAACGAATAGTAAAAATAAACAACAAAAATTTCGAAAAAAAAAATCAAACCGCCCTCCTGCATGGAAATTTGGACAGAGGTGACGTCAGATTTGCTACAGTGTTGATCCTCTGGTGGAAAAAGGATTCTAACCTCAAATTTCATTTTGATCTCTAAATTTTTTCATTAGTGCCATTCGATAGTACCAGCTTTCTCAGTGTTTGAAATATTTGCACTTATTTCAATGCCACCCTGTATATAAATTGATTACTATATTGTAAAATGAATTCAAACAGGGCGTGTCGAAGTAATGACTTGATAATAGTAGAAGATCCGAACCTAAATCGACCTTCACCGAGCTGATAATAGAACGAAATATATTTTATCATGAATTTAGTATATTAGAAAACATATTAAAAATGGGTTCGCTAAAAAAATCCTAGACAGACTATTTTTAATTATTTTTCGAAAAATGATTTTTAATTAAATGTTGCAACATCAGGATGATAAAAAAATTTTGTCCTGACTGAAAGTATAAAACGTATAGAATGTGCAGCCGTTGGGTTGTCTACTATTTACCTGGGCGAACTACTGGGTTGTCAGGTAAACACAGGTATATCGATGCCAGTTACTTTCACTGGATTGGATAATTAAAACAAATTTGTTTGCGAATTTTAAAGATTTTAATTTCAACGCGCGTGGAAGTGTGTAACAGAGAGATCCGAAGAAAGTATACTGTGTAATAATAAAGGACCCAACATCGCAGTCGCTTGTGATGGGACCCTGAATAGTAGAAAGTGTGCGAAGTGTGCGAAGTCAAATCCTGAAAACTATGGTTGGCATTTTGATGATTTCTTAAAACCAACAGGTTTTATCGGAGATCAAACTCCTTTGAAAATCCAGGACATTGTCGAAATGGAAGCAAATGAGGAAGAATCTGATGAATCAGACGAATTCGAGAGTCAAAATGATACTTCTGATGAATCAGATATTGAATAGAAAATGTTTATTCGAATTTATTTTTCATTAATATTATTTTTGTATTTATACTGTTTTTTAATAAAATTTTAAATCGTAATACAAGATGTCTAGTCTATCTTTTTTGTTATTTCTTAATTTGAATTTTTGGCGTTCCACTTTGTTTCTATTTCCAGAAAGAGCAAAAAAATGTCAAAGTAAGTAATTGATATTTTTATTGTCTATTATAGATTATAGATATATTATTATGGTTATAACGCAATATATTGATATTATATTGTTTTTATATATTAGTATTATATTAAATATATTTAATTATTATGTAATTAATTAATTTTTTTTTGCTACTGAAATATCAGTTGCTCCAAAATAACACGCACTGTTTACAATATGAAGGGTAGTAGAGGTACCTCTACCCTCCATAGTTTACACACCGAGCATGCGCACTTTCTACTATTCAGGGTCCCATCACAGGCGACTGCGATGTTGGGTCCTTTATTAATACACAGTATACTTACCTCGGATCTCTCTGTCACACTTCCACGCGCGTTGAAATTAAAATCTTTAAAATTCGCAAACCCCTAATAGGACCGGAATTTTTGCAGACAACCCTATATCAACGTGTTCGCAATTTAACAGCGCTTAGGATGATATAAATTTGTTTTAATTATCCAATCCAGTGAAAGTAACTGGCATCGATATACCTGTGTTACCTGACAACCCAGTAGTTCGCCCAGGTGAATAGTAGACAACCCAACGGCTGCACATTTATACGTTTTATACTTTATGTCAGGACAAAAATTTTTTATTATCCTGATGTTGCAACATTTAATTAAAAATCATTTTTCGAAAAATAATTGAAAATAGTCCGCCCAGGATTTTTTAGCGGACCCATTTTTAATATGTTTTCTAATATACTAAATTCATGATAAAATATATTTCGTTCTATTATCAGCTCGGTGAAGGTCGATTTAGGTTCGGATCTTAGACTATAATGAGATAGGTAATTATAATGCAACCTTGCAGCGGACGAAAAGAGTTTCTAGACGAAAAGTCACTGTTTGCGGACGAAAAGTACTTGCCTTCGGAGATAGTCGGTTTTTTGTTCGGAAATGAGAACGTAAAATGTAATATTTTTTGTAGAGATCGACGAAAATATAGGTCAAGCGTTTTCCATAGTAAATAAATCTCTGCAATCTCAATGAAACTGATGTTGGATCACACGAAACCTTAGTGAATTTACTCATGAATTTATCAGAAAGAAGATTCCCTATTGTACCAAAACTGTCATACCGTATTTAACCTAAAATCATGATTACATAACCTCGCTTTCGGAATTCATCCCATATTTAGTTTCCTGATTGTACACATCCTTGTACAGGGTGGCTGGAATTCGAGCCTCATCATTGCGATCTCGTAAACCGTAAGAGAAACAGGATCGGTTGAATTATAGCAAAGTTGGACAATTTTATATGCCTAACAAAATGACATTTCGAAATTCCAAAAGTACCGAAAACTTCCGAAGAATTTTAGAAGAACAGAATATTTGCGATTTTATTTTAATTTTTTTGGTGGTGTTATCGGATTTTCAAACCAACGTTCCGTCTTCAAGCTGTCGTCATCACTTTGTTTTTCTAAATACCGCCTTGGATTTTTCATCACGAGTTTTGAGAGCGTTCAATGCCCTAAATCATGATTGTATCGCACTTATTGAAAAAAAGGTGTTTGCATGGTTTCAATCCCATTGACAATATATTCTGTCTCTCTCTAACGCATAAATTCTTACGGAAAATGCCATTAATATGATTTTCTCAAATAATTGCGATACACCGTATGAAAAAACAAAGATGATGAAGACAGTTCAAAGAAGAGACGTCGGTTTGGATATCTTATAAAAAATGAATTTGAAATTGCGAATATTCGGTTTTTCCGAAATTGAAGTTTCCGATATTTTTCAAATATCAAAACGGCATTTTATTAGGCATAAAATTGCGCCATAATTTAACCGACCCTGTATCATTTTAAGGTTCACGAGATCCCGTACAGTGTACTTGATGCAACTGATTTTCCGTTTTCTAGAATTCAATTCGTAAGAATTGTGACATATGTTTCTTATATCTATCCATTTAGTTCGATTTGCATCATTCTTCAAAAATGTAGCCCTGATGAATTGACAATTTGAACAACAATTCAACCACCCAATTTTGCTCGTTTTCAATTGGATTTCGAATAACTGTTGGCCATAAGTCATAAATATGAGTGTACTGAGCAATTTTGCAATTTTCAGAATTTTCTAGTTTTTCTCAGAAGGTCTTCCAACTTCCGTCACTTTCGACCGATATTGACTTGAATAAATATTTGGTCAATCGGAGTAGATGAACACTTGTGGCATATATTTTCCAAATTGAACACCCAATTCATTTGGGAGATTGTCTTGTTTGGAGTCTACTGATCTCTATTATTGAACATTATAACTGTCTGAGAGATCATAATCATAAAGTTGTAATGATATCTAAGTTAGCAAGAATGTAAAAAAAAGTTGCAAGTGACTCATTTTCCTGGCTATCGATCACGTGTAGAAATGTTATCCTATATGTGATTCAGTTTTTCTCAGAAATAATCGAGTGTTTGATACTGATGATAGATCTTTGAGATAGGTATATGGATGAAAAAATATATATTTATCTCTATACATAGGGTTCGTTGTTGAGTTACAGAGCTTTGAAATGCACCAGGGCTAAATAGATGTTTCACGATATCTTGGTGAGAATATTTCTCTAAATATAATCCCTTGCCTACACAGTGGCGTCAGTAAGAGAATTATCTTGACATACAGGGTGAATCATTGGGAACTGTACATACATCAACTACGAATAGAGGCCTTTGAGTGAAATACCGAATATTCATCAGAAAGTGTCTTCTACACTGAAAATGAATTTCTCTTCCTTTTCAATAATTATCTGCGAATATTCCTTTTCAATAGGTCAGATAGTTTAGGAAAAGTAGTTTTCCTTGTTCTCGCAAGTACTTTTCCGGGAAACATTTATCAAGTGCGAAACAAGAAATAAAAAAAGAGCTAACTCGTCCACTGGCGTTTTTTAGCATAACGAACGACCAAATATGCGTCCATGACCCTAACGAAGAACATAATAGGCGGCCACAGTTTACTCAGAGTCCAATTGAGAACGATCAAAATTCATCGATAGCAACTCCTGTAGACGAGACCACCCTAGAGCCCATGCCTAATTTTCCGCCCCTCCATTTAGGACTTCACCCTGGACTTCTACTTCCGGCAGTTCTGGACCGACCCACGGCTGGCCTTCCGCAAGCGGCCCGGCGTCGAGACGCTGTCCGTCGGATCGGAGTTCATCAAGAACATCTGGGTGCCCGACACGTTCTTCGTCAACGAGAAGCAGTCCTCGTTTCACATCGCCACCACCCTCAACGAGTTCATTCGGATACACCATTCGGGGTCTATCACGCGCAGTATTCGGTAAGTTGGTACAGTCGTCTTCAGATATCATGTCGCGGTTGGACGGTGTCAGCGCTCTTATTGCAGGAGTTATTAAGAATGCTATAATCGTCCATATGCGACATGTTTTCTGAAGACGACTGTACCTACCTATAGGGTTTTTACAACCTTCCCGGCAGACAATTTTGGTCTGCATCATGCTGGTCCAGGATAGGGCTTCGCGAGACCAAGACCATCTCAAAAAATGAATGTAGTCTTGGTCTTTGATCAAAATGCGTCTAGAAATTTGAATTATTGTTCGATTCAAATATCGAACATTTTATATGCATATATAATAAGTATTTTGTTGGGTGCCTCAGTATATTGTACAATCCAATTGTTTCATTATTGATTGTCTTGTCAGATATTAGATGACAGTATTATTATATGTTATTAGTTCATTCAATAGAGTATTGAATTCAAACATATAGTAGTGGTTAAAACAGTGGCGACGAGGATGGGATCATCAAGACATTATAGAAAGAAATCAGTTGATCAGAGCTCATGTCAATCAATTGAAACCCCGTTTCACTCATATCAAGGATGATGAGAACTCTCAAAATCTGCTACCATTCTCAATACTTTTGGATTCATTCGGAAACAAGAAGCCAAATTCTGCATCAGAAACAATATGTGCTATTGTTTCTGATGCAGAATTTGGCTTCTTGATTCAGAATGAATCCGAAAGTATTGAGAATGGTAGCAGATTTTGATATCTGGATCTAGTGTGAGCAAAGAGCGCGAGCCATGTAGACCTACTAGAGAAAGAAGACTTCCAAGTTACTTTGATGATTTCAAATTATGGGTGGGTTGGGTGGCTCAGTATATTGAACAATTCAATTGTTTCATTATTGATTGCCTTGTCAGATATTAGATGACAGTATTATTATATATGTTATGAGTTTCACCGATGAAGTATCGAATTTAAACATATGGTAGTGGTCATAACATATTTCGTATTTCTTAGTCTTTGAAATTGTCAATTTGTGCATATGAAGTGAGCATGTGCGGACAAAATACAGTTTTTTCGAGCAAGAGAGTATTATGAAATTGATATCGTTATAGAAAACTTGAAGGTAAGGACATAATACATGTTCTAGTGCCTGTATTATGTGGGACGAGTCCATGTCAGGACGTGGGGTAAATCAAATGGCTTCTGGCATTCTCAAATGGGCAGAGACTTCAAGTGAGAGCGTAAAAGAGATTATTATCTGGTCACATAACTCCCAATCCCAAAACCGTAACATGATTATGATAATGGCATATTTTTGGATCTGAAAACAGTATCAGAATACAAAAGAGATTGATCACAAATTTTTGCTACATGGTCATACGCAAACGGAAACGAACTCCATTTTTGAAAGTGATGACGCCCTGGGAATGGCAGCAACTCGCAAGTCTGTATTGTCTGTCAAACATAATTACTCAAAACAAACCTTTTTCTACAAACGTCAAAAAATGACAAGGTTCGCGCATTGACAACAAATTGCGAAGTGACACTTTTTTTCAGTTTCCTACGTTACAATGATATCTTGCACAAAACAATGCGCGAAGTAAAACAGTGCGCGAAGTACCTACTTCGCGCACTGTTATGTAAAATATATGAGATATTTATTTTTCAACTTAATGGTCCACAATTGAGCAAACATCCACGAAATCATTTATTACTGAATGTTCGATAAATAACTTCGTTTTATCTCTTGGAGCGCACGAAAGGAAATTCCTATTATGTTCGTGGAACTTCGTGCGTACCTAGGGAGGATCGGGGGAGGTCATTAACGCCTGTTCAACACTATTTTTCACATCAAGCTGAGCATATCTCCACTTTAGAACAATATTTTTTGAGGTTTGTAGAAAAAAATGTTGTTTGCAACTCGAGCGCGAAATACTTTGGTCATCTCGACTATTTTTTTAAAATCAGATCTTGATCACCAAAGTAGCATTTCGCGCTCTAGATACAAAAATAACTATCTCCACTTCTCTCTTCTGACTCCACCGTTTTTTTCGGTCTTTCCAAAAATGGGTTTTGCCATTGAATCGTGATAATGTACGTCCTCATAGGGGCACAGGGCTCCTTTAAAATTTACCTGACCTTTAACAGGTGCTTATTTTCACAATAATTGTATTCAATGTTTTTTCATATTGTGTGTTTTTTTCATTCCCACGTAAGTAAATTCTTTATTTCATACATTATTCATGATTAACTTGTATCATATTATAGGACCTTTGGTGTGTAAGGATTAAGGCCACATGACTGTCCGAAACATATTTCCCTGAATGATCTTTCGATTATTTAACGTTGTGGAGATGATTTTGTGTTTTCTAACTCCCTCATATATGATGGGACTGTAATGGCCACTCATCGACATTGGTTGCATATGCATATACTTCAGGGGCTTCAGAGATATCAAGGATGCAATTTTATGAATGACACAATGACATCAACCTCTCTCTTCTTCCATGATGAAACTTCTCAGAGTGACTACTTATTGGCTGGTAGGTATGTGATATCAACATCTACGTCTTATATTGGGTAGCATTCTTTGAAAATGCGAGGTACTCCTGAAATATAGAATTCATCATCAGTTATTATCAGTGGCCAATATCAGAGTTCTTCCTCCATATACGAAAAACGCAATACTGTTGCATTATTACTTGACCAATATAATCTGATAACTATGTAGCTTCTCAATTCTCATAGTATTTTTGACACAACACATCAGGTATTTCTGTAGTTGGAACCTTATTGTTATTTAATTCTATAATAGAGACAGGTTTATATATTACCTAAGATTGCTTCTGATAGCGATAACGAACGAGTTTAACATGGTAGTTATATGCTTCTGGAGAAGTAGAGCCACTCCAATTATTTTGATCATTAGGTATAGATATCCTGCCATAATAAATAACCACCAGGGAATTTGAGGATCAGAAGAATTCGACAACAAACCAGAGAAACACGGAACATACGCACGATCACGAGAGTCATATATAATAATGATCAAAATGATCAGCTGATTGTTCATGTAGATGTTCCTAGAACATTCACCAGGGGGGGCGAGTAGAAAACAGTATATTTGCTAGCAAAAGGCCACAACTCGTTAGAGTTCAATTGGTTCCAGACATCTTACTATCACAAGGCCATCATCGTATTTTCAACTGATGATTACTTAGCCTAGGGAAATCACCGGCCCATTACCAATACCCCTGCATCGTCACTTTCCCAAACTTGCCTTCACTAGGCCGGACTTCTCCCGGTACTCCAACATTTGCTGTGTGACCATCGTCGAGTTTTATACTAGGTTATGTTTTCATTGATCTTGGGCCACTTTATTGGTAAAAAGTGGTGCTGCCAATTTGACAACTATCAAGCAATATAGGGAATTGAAATCTCCGTCAGCAGCAGGTTATATTGATTGGAAAACAAAAACGAGATCATTGCCAAAAAACTTTTCACCATATCCGATGTTGATGTTTCGAACGAATACAATACTCCAACGACATTCTGATAGTGTTTTTTGAAAACAGGGTTGCTTCCAAAAATCAAAATTTGGGATAGCCTTCGGTTGAGATGGAAGTGATCATATAAATATTGTTGGTCATTATAAGGAAATTAGGTATACTTGTTACCAACCAAATGAGAATCCAACCACGAATTATTCGGGAGTGAAAACACTCTGGCCGTTTCATGTGCAATTATTTTTATATTTGTCTGAAGTATTGGAGCACATTCCGGGAGAATTCAGAAGAACAGCTTATTAGTTTTTCTCCATACCAGTTGGCTATGACTCAACCATCCTAACGTAGCTTTTAGCTATTTATCAGATCAGAAGAATGACAAGTTGTTCCAGAACTGTGATCGTTTATCTACTCCAAGAAATCAATCAATGGAAACAAACATTTTCAGAACAGCTCTTTCTAGTTTGACATCTCGATAACAGCCTACGGCTCATGCTGCAAACTCCATTCTCGTGGGTAATCACCATCATTCCGTGCTCGTTCAACAATATACTACTGTCGTTCAGCAAACTAGCAATTGTTTCGATGTAATAAGGAAATCTATTCCGAAACATTAATAGCGTTTGAACTCCAATATTCCCCTGAGAGATATCAATGATGGCAATTCGAGCCATTAATGTATTTTCATTTATAAATAATCACAAGAATATTGTCGCAACTCAGATGGTTTCAGTACGGTTTATGGCATTATTGATAATAAACGGAGCCTTCACCACGTGTCGCAACTCAGATGTCGACCCCTCCCTATGAGTAGTAACTTAGCTACTCGCTTGGCTTTTTTTTGATGAGAGGTTCTGATCATTTCACCTCCCAACCATAATCATCCTCAAATAAAGAGTCAAGGCAGTTTTCATATAGAATTAACATTTATTTATCAAATGGAAAAATCATGAATCAATGGTGCCACATGGAAGGTTAGCAGAGAAAAACCACAGTGAACTAAAATACAACACAAAACATATTAGAGAGGAAAAATGAAAAATAGTTTATTCATTATAACGTCTAGCAGAGGGTTGACCAGCAGGATCGAAGTCGGGAAAACGGTGGACATTTTGTTAGCAACTCCTGAACTACTTATTCAATTACAAAGTATCAAATACTGCGTATGCAAAATGGATGTCGAATGAATAATAATAATAATATAGCACTTACCGATTCGGACCCTACTTATATTTGAAGTCGATGCTTGATTTGCCTGGTTTGCAATAATCCGCAACGGGAAATGCCGCTACCTGGCGCGGTATTGCTCACCTAGGTAGTTTCGCACGGTAAGCATTTTGCAAACTTCACAGGAAATGAGGTCCATGAACTCGACTAAACTCAACGAAACTACACTGTACTGGATGTTCAAATTTGGAAAAGTTAATTCATGATTAAATATCTTGAAATGAACAAGAGTTTGAGTGGTGTTATGCCATAGGAATTTTCCCTACTTGACACTTGACAATATTAATATTATTTTTGAAACGAACAGAGATATATTGATCGGAGGTAGTCATGAGTTTCAAACTCAGAGCCTGCATGTTTGAATCATCTTCGTTTCGTAACATGGTCATAATTATATTTATAATATGGAAATAAAGAATTCGAATCTAATTCTCTCAAGTATGGAAATAAAACAATTCACAACGTTGGATCGTCTATAGGTTATTCCCCTTTCATCTGTAGATATTATCTCGTTGTTGAAAAATATCGTTCCATAATGTTCTCATTTGCCCTTGTTTCTTTATCTGATCGAAAACAATTACATGAATTTTGTAACGGTTCAATTTCCAACTTTATTCACTTGGAGTTGGAGACGATCTCGTGAAATACCCCTAAGATAATGTTAGCTAGACGGTGTAAACAGAATATTAATTAACCCATTCGGTCTCCAGAGACGGCATATAAATTCTCAGAGGGTCCAAACGGCTGATGGAATGCATACTGAGCGGCTGCTTGATAACCACCTCATAAATGATAACCCAATAGCATGTGCTTAAATCAACCGGCATTTTGATATACACTGTGTTCATTCGAAAGCACCCACCCACCTCGTTCTTCGAAGATGAATTATTTATGAGGGGATCGCTCGGACAAATTGATTTGATTCTGCGCCTGGACGCCATTTTCGAAGATTTTTCAAAATGGAATGGAGGTTTGAGTGATGAGTACCTCATTTCAATCATTTGGGGGAGACTATTCATTTTTCAAGACGACATCATCGTGAGCTCTGTATTACCACAGCCACCTATGCCACCTCGCATCGAGTTTTCTTTCAGGCAGCATTGCCATCAATGCCGGCGTTCCACAAGGATCCATTTTGGCACCAACATTGTTCCTACTTCATATCAATGATCGGTTGAGAGTAACCACTTGACCTATCCACAGCTTTGCAGACGATTATATTTTCCATACTGCGTTATCTCAAGGATTCCCATTCCTTCCTGGGAAAATTAAGAACTTACGACGCGGGCAGGTCAACGCTGTCAATGATGATCTTGCGCAAATTACAGTCTGGGAAACCAATTAGCTAGTTGAATTCAACGCCACCAGAACTCAAGCCTGTATTTTCTCTAGAAATACTCTTTCATGAGATAATCATGTCAGATCCATCGCGAGAACTGTTTCACAAGAACTCGGATTCTGATTCCGTGCAGAATTCTACTCCAAACATTATCAAGTCCTCATGATCTACAAAGCCCAGATACGGCCTGTTTAGGAATACTGTTCTCACATATGAGGTTCAGCACCCAAACATAAGCTGATGCACTGAGATTTCATTCAGAGAAGAGCCATATCTACCTGGTGGGTGATGCCAAACTAACTAATAGGTACATACTTTGATTTCCTTAGAACACCGGAGAAAAGTCGGCCACCTTCCACCTTTCTATAGGTAGTTCCGCGGGAAATGTTCCTCAGGCATCTCTGCTATAATTCCATCACTAGCAATACCAGTCAGACGGACTCTACATACCCAGTCAGCACATCCTCTCGTTGTCAACCATGAAATAAGTTGAATAACACTGCACCAAAACTTTTTCGTCTATAGAACGGCAAAGCTTTGGAATTATTTGTCAATGGAAGTATCACTAAAAACCAGAAGTTAAAAAACAACATTTACCTCCTCCCCCTAACCCCTAGGGACAATGCCCTAGGTATGCACGGAGTTCTTATAAACATCATTGAAATTTCCTTTCGTGCCCTACAAGAGATAAAAAATTACCAGTGAATATACATTTTGAATTTTGTCATTCATACTATAGGACAATAAAATAATAGCACACACCTCCTGTGCCATTTGAAATGTCAAATCATTGGTGTGACTGGTGTGACGTATTTGTCCCAACACGCCTATTGTCCTTGAGTTGACCAATCACACTGCAGAATGGCAAGGTATCAGAGAGACATAGCTACAGCACAGGCTACAGTTAGTGAATAATACGTCACAGATTCACCTGCATATCTGGCTGTTTGAAATATCGAATGGAATATGTTGATTTCTAAACGCTATAGATTCGAGCCCCTTCAACTTTGAATCATAATAATGATTGTACATTGAATGTAAATCATCATTCATCGATTGAAAGAGGTTTAGACGGATTTTATTCCCCAATGGTCTCAACCATTCTCTGTATAACACCGCATAATTTCAGACTAGAATATACAATATAACAAAAATGGCAGATGATGATGTTTGGAACCTCATACCTCATGATGCTTTCGACTAGATGACTATCAATAATGTGCTCTTGTCTGATTTCTTCAACTTCCTATTGACATCTAGAAGAGTTCTCCATCCATCTTCAACTCCTCTAGCTCCACAAACTAATCTAGCGAAATTTTTCGTCATTTGGTGACTCATAATTTGAAATTTGAAAGCATCAGACTGATGCTCAATATTGTAATTGTGTGTTTTTCATCAACCAATTGAATGGATTTGAATAAGAATATTTTGATGAAAGAACTCGGTTTCATATAGAATATCTCATGAATGTCTTAGTGATGGTAGTAGTCCATCCTCAAAGTGTAGTAAGTTTTCAAAAAGGAGTAGAACGCACAGTCATTTCCACAACAAGCGTCTAGCTAGACCTGGCAAATATCTCTTCTGTATGATAAAGGAGAGTACTTTCATAAATTAACGACTCGTTAATCTATGGTACTTTCAACCTAACTTGTCCTAAACGAACCTTTCTCCTGAAAAGTATCAAGTTTAACATTTTTGAATATAGAGAATGAGTAATAAATAATGTACCTATTAATAATTGTATTAAAAAAAAACGGTCATGTTATTATGTTTTTTTTGAGTTCAAATTTCATCTGCGTCCAATGTAGAATGCCAGAAATCGCATCCTTAGATCTATACCAAAAAAATCTATATTTTTCGAAAACTGAAAAAAGATAATCTCAGTGAAGTATATATATTTCAAATAAGAAGATAAAACTTTACTGTTCCGAAAAATTAAATACAGGGTGTTCCATATAAAAAATACGAGTTTATGGAAAAATTTCAGGTTTACGATGATTTTGAATGCTCATGAAAAATACTCCACTTTTTAAAATGGGAACGTTCCTGTAGGACCAATATTAACTGAGATAGCTTTGGGTAAAATATAAAAAATCATTGTGTACACTACCAAAATGAATCAATTTATATTGAGGATGGATAACAGTTCTAATCAATGCTTTTATCAACTTCACCATCTTGGATATTCAATATTCAAAAATCATTATTTGTTACAGACTCACAATCACAGCATCATGTCCCATGAATCTCCAGTATTTCCCAATGGATCGACAGCTCTGCCACATAGAAATAGAAAGTTGTAAGTTAACTCGTCCTTGAATCTCATGCAAATATCAGAATTGTACATTGGATTATATGTTGAAAATGTGATTATTTTGTATAAACGATATTATTCAAGACATCAACAAATAACTGTGTCTTTGCTTTCATCAGCAACGCTCAAAAATGTGTGAGCACCAAATTTTTTGTATAGGGCACCCAGGTCATTGGCGATTGAAAGGCTTTCTCGTACCAAAAAGTGCCATTTCATTCCACTGATTAAGCAAAAATTTGCACCTTATCGCAATAATATCCGTTTATTTATACTCAAGGTAAATGGGAATCAAATGATCATACCTCTTTAGGAAAATGATATCAATAAAATTATTATCGTACTCAAATTTCACCTGAACCAATAATTTATAAATAGCTTCTTGGATATAATATTTCAATCAAATTATTTTAGCTAATAGCAGCACGCATATTCCGAAGTAAGTATATAAATATCGAGAACAAATCAGATGATTTGTCCCAAGATGTTTCTGCGTTTGAAAATTTCAGTATTGAACACATTCAGTCGGAAGACAGTGACACATATATTCGAGATTATACCTACCTTTGTTTTTTTATCGCCAATGTTCAGTGACAGGAATCAACATGAAAATGTGTTTCAATCAATAATTGTTCTTGAAGTTAAGATTTTCATACTCAGTTCCTATAGAACTAAATGTCATGTTATTAACTAGTTTTCATCTCATTATGATGATTCTGATATAATTTTATGGCAGAGAAACGGGGAGGATGATGTTTCTGTTTTTCCAAATCTCAAATATTTTGATAATAGTTATTCATACACCAAGGTAGTGAAAGATAATAATATCATCATTACCCAGGGACCAAGATTATATCCCGGGGCTCCTACCAAGGTGTATATCCAATTTTTTTCACCACTATCAATACATTCCAATCATTTCGGTTCTGTGAAGCTGAAATATAAACCTATTGTCCTTATGAAAGCACTTCTCTCCAATTCCAAATGGAATCTAGTAGCCATAACAGAGGTGACTATGTCATTATTGACTATAGTAGTTAATAAAATGACGAAAACTACCTTGGTAGTAAAAACACACTTTATGCCTCGGAACGAAGTAAATAATGGTAGGTTTTATAGCTAGTGGTGGAAAAAAGGTAGTTTCAGTATCTTGTAGAGATTTTTCAAGGTTTAACATTCATATCACTTATATATTACTAAATCATTTGAACCGAATGAAAATCGCCAGTGGCCTGTCAAATATATAACACCTAGCACACAGATAGCTCTTGATACTGGCAGAGCAAACACGCAGTAACTCATACCATCAACTAACAATTATAATGAGAATTGATCGTCTGAGTTCCGCAGCCGCAACTCCCAAAGTTAACATTTTCTCAACTCTATTTTATTTTCAGTTATCACAAGGCATTCAGGAGAAATACTGATTGTTGGATCTTCATTGGATAATCTGATCACATTCCTATTCAAAATAGTTCTTTACTGATGAAATTGATAATAGGCTCTCCTTCTGAGAATCTTATACCGACAATTTTCATAAAATCAATATAATCAATGTGAAAGATATTCGTAGAGATATTTATAATTTGACATTTACATCTTTAAAAAGTAATTAGTTAGTCAATATGAATTAGCAAACCCAATTTCATATATCTGTCGATAATCTGAAGACAAAAAAGTTCGTAATAGGGATTTTTCAATTCGATACACGAAGAAGAACCAACAAATCACTGTCTAACCCCTCTTGATCCTATTATATGATTATCACCATTATTATTGGTGTTTTTTCGGTGTCCTTCTCCTATACAGCACCCGCGGAAGGGCCCAAAATAAACCGAGCGTTGAGAGTCTCGGCCGTAAAGCACCTCTGAAGGTGGCACCCGGAACCGTCGAAACGTTGACACCAGTCGACGGCGTGACTGCTTCCATTTGGTCCCGGTTGACCGGCAGCCAATAGCATGCGATGCCCCTGCATGGATCACTGTGTAGTTGTCAGTCGGAGTCTGGTTTATCTTCTTTTTGACTACAGGATATTACAACACTTTTGTGTAGTTGAGGAAACCGAAACAACTATAATAGTATATCATTCAACAAGCATATAATTAGCGCTCTTATATTCACGACACACTTAACATGAGTGCATAGCGACTGGCATAATCAACCTGAATGAATAATAGCGGTGAATAACCATTATTCCCTGGTCTAAAGTTCCTTATATGTTATATCGCGTACCCTAGGTACTCTAGACCACTTAATCATGGATATTCACTGCTATTATTCACTGGTGTGAAAAATGGCTACCGTTTTTTTGAGAAATTATATTCTGATTTTGATCGTGTGTGTTAGAGAGAATAATTTTTACCATTATCATTCTGAATGAGAATCTAGTAAACGAGGAATAATATTGTCTGTTCATTAGAAAAAAATACAGAATCTTATATTTGTTGTCCTAACCATACACATTATTATTATTATTGTCAAACATTGCGCATTTTGAGGAATTTTCAGTATGAAAGCATTTTTCTCATACAGTTTGAAGTTCAATAAGAGCAGGATGTACTCAACAGCTATCTCAGTCAATATTGGTCTTACAGAACCGTATAAATGGGCATAAAAATGTTACATAAAAAAGTATTTTTCAAATGGAATACCCTCTGTTTCATTTTCCGAATCGATAAACCTCTTTCTTCTGGATCCATTGAGGTTATCATTTGTCAGTTTTTGAAAAATTCAGATTTCTGGTATGAATCAAGACAGGTGTTGAACGAAAATCCTGCGATTTCTGGCGTTCTACAGCTGCCTTAGAATATATATTTCATGAAAAATGTCAGAGATAACCGCAATGAAGTATATATATTTGAAATCAGGAGAAATAGCTCTATCAATTGGGCAAATGGAATTGAGTGTTTAATATTCAAAAAATATCATCTTATATTATGTAACATTTTTAGTCTCTGGTCAGTCGTTATTTCAACTGCATCTATCAAAACCATACCTATCAAGATTTTCATATTTACAATGACAACAACGATACGATTTTTCCTGGCATAGTCCAGGAAGTATACGTACTTTTCGGTCAAGGCCAGAAATATACTACTTTCTCAAAGAAAAAGCATCCGGGCCCAGGTTTAGTTTTGTGATAGTTTAGTTTGTGCTCGACCGATTTTGTGTCTTTTCTTGTTTTTTCTTTTAAAAAATTGACTTATTTGATTAATAATCAATCTCAATTTCCGATACATATACAATGTTTTTTAAGTCGAACTTGCATCATCTTAAACTTTCAACTGTTCTTCTAGTCGCCTGTTTCTGTATATCTTTATGAAGAAAGTTTTTAACAAGTTTGAAATTGATTTTTCCAATCTAGTGATCTTTTCGTTCATTTGGAATTCAGTCCATTCCCATACATTTTGTAGAACATACAATATACAACGAATATCGTTGACATTATATCAAGTATTTTCAATATTTTACAATATATCATCAAAATATCTCAACCAAATATGCTTCTGAACATCAGGTATCCAGACGAAGACATTCTTTATATTTGCTTCATCACATGCTTGTGCTTTTCAATTTGCTTTATTGTTTCGTTCTCATGTAGATACATTCTCCAAATGACTTTCAACTCGAAATATAATACTGCTTTGGTTTGGTCAGAAAGGTTGTAAATGTAAGTTTCACGAAACATCAAAGGAAACAATTCTTCATATGCTTACAAATAATTTTTCATGTCTTTCACAATCATCAGGTCAATTCTGCAAACGATCATAACAATATTCAATAAAGAAATGAGTATGAACGAAACTTTCATTCAATGTCTATCTGACCTTCGTTGCGATCTATGACTTTGACCATCGAACATCATGTTTCAGTTCATGTTCGATACTTTGACTTAGATAATACTCTGCAATGAACTTCATTCCTAGATCGCAGCTAAGTCTTTGAAAACGGTGAGAAGTTAAAACAGAAATATAGTAGGGTGAAACCCATTGAAAAAGGAAATGGATATCACAAATATGAAAGAAACCATAAATTACGGTCGATTTGAGTTTTTAAGGGTGAAATATGGTTTATCTTGATTTCCAGCAAAACTACAGCCTTATGGAAAAAATACGACAGCGAAGTTGTGGCTAATGAAAAGATCTATGACTTTTATTTCTACACTTTCTCCACATAACCTCAGAAGTTATAACAAAAATCGATTTACCACGTTCCTTTTATTAAAATTTTATATTACTTTTACAAAAATATTTTTGTTTCACGATACTTGGTGAAAACTTACCTCTTCATTTCCCAAATACACTGTAGTATTTTCAATTTGAAATATTCATTTTTTCACCCTATTACTACTATGACTTAATATCAAAGAAGCACCTCAATCGAAAATTCTCCGATAATGCAATGCAATGTAAAGGAAGAAAAGGCAGCAGTTACATTCTCTAGATAAAATTCCCTTCATTATTTAGAACAATTATTTTCGCATGTTTTTTGGCATCTAATTGGATTTGAAATTTCTTCGTCCATCAATATGACATGGAATCTCCGTTTTTCGAGTTGTTCATAATGATTCCAAAACATTTTCGGATTCAAATTTCGTTTCTTCGTATTTTCTGAGAAGAGTTACCCTAGTGATGTATATACCTTCCACACCATCAGAAAGTAGAGATTCCAATGAACAAATAGTCCACCGATATTTTTATCGAGAAACAGATATTTTGATGCGAGAATTTTCGATTGAAAATTAGGGTCCTTTCTCGATAGATTGAGTCAAAATGAGGTGAAAAAAGAATATTTCAAATAAAAAAAAACACAGTGTATTTGGGACATGAAGAGGTGGGCTCACACCAAGTTTTGTGACAACAAAATTCCTTTCGTAAAATATAAAATTTAAAATCCAAAAACTTGGTTATTCGAATTTTTCACATGAATCCTGAGGTTATGTGAAAAAAGTGTATTCACAAGAGTTATAGATCTTCTCATTACCTACAACTTTGTTATTTTTCTCCATAGCACTTGTGGTGTTGCCAGAAATCGAGATTTATCGTTTTTCACCCTTGAAAGCTCACCTTCCACTTTCCGACCTCAGATCGACCCTGATTTTTTTCTCTTATTGTCGTTATATTATCAGCTTCCTTCGTCTTCTTGAATGCACGAATTTCATTCTACTATAATTTTCTTTGGTTTCAAAATCATCTACCCTGGTCTAAAAGAGTTTTCCATCACGACTGATTTCCAATCTCTCACATCGAACTTTGTTTGGCATGATAACACGTGAAAAACCAGACATGTATGTAATCAGTTTGAAAATTTATTCCATCTAAAACGTGCTATGCACATACAAGACTTGCTCTTACTTTATCAAATTTTGTTATTCAGACCGATGAAATTGATACATTCATGAGTTGATAGGTGGTTGCAAAAGTGATACTATTCAAATCCACCAGTCAATTATTTGAAAGTCTCACATCATTCGACGAAGTAAGATAAAGTCATTTGAATGTAGTAATAGGTGCCTGTCGAATCACCTAGGGCTCACAATGAGCAAAGAGTTCCATTGACAAATAATAGATATATTCAAGTGCTTATAGAAACATTTCGGTGATGAAATGGTTGGTGAAGAGGAGAAGAAACTAATAACTGCTATCTCAAGTGGAACTCCTTGCTATTTATGAGCGTAGTCTATATTTATTTCCTTCTCGGAGTCATAGTTATTCTCCATTGTCAGCTAGATGAAAAACGTCTCATTTAAAATTATACCTGAAAAACTGAATGTCATAATATTGCGTCTAGAAATACATCAAGAAATTGATGGTATTCCAATATTATTTCGCTCTGTTGGAATATCTGTAAATGATGCAGCTGTCAATAAATACACACATCCAGGGTCTCAAAGGTTAGCTATACTATCACTAGGTTGGGTTAGGTTAGGTTCAAAGTAATTAGGTCTATTAGGCCGGTCACTGCGATCCTTAAGGGACTATTGTGGCTCACACCAATTCATATTCCATCAAGTGAATTCAGCTTTTTGATGAAACAGATGAGTTTAGTTGATTAATGATCTTTCAGGCCCGAGGGCGAGAGCAAAACCCTGCTTAAACCTGATTCGTGCCTCTGAGTGGTAGGCACTGCTGTTTCATCATGACAGTTCAAGTCCAGACATATGATGATTCAGACGACAGTGATCTGTAAGAAAACCTGTAGAAGGACCTGGTGTAGTTTAACATTCTTCGACGAATGTACTATGAATGGCTTGGAATAAGCTAATCCTGGTATAGATTCTCCCAGGAGTCTGCAACTCTCCTTGCAGTCCAAAGGATCAGTGTATACATGACAATACATGATGAGATGTCAATGGCAGTTTCTGGTCCGGTGAAACCATGCACTAGTAGCAAGGTAGTCTACCATTCGATCTCCTTTCATATTGGAGTGGCCAGGAATAGAGACCAGAGAAAATTAGTATATAATGTTTTCTTGGCAGTTCAATAGATAAGTGCTATTACAGCTGCTTGGATATTCAAGAATATCTCACTTATTGTTTCATGTGTGAGGTTCATCATCTCCCATCTCTCCACATCGATCGATGGTGTTCAATTTCATCTGGAATACCGTTGCGAAAGATCCTAGGTGGTTGATATCTCCGTCCTAAGTCTAAGAATCGTAAGCACCCGCACCGAAGCCAGACGGTGTTTTTGAAATCATCTGTGAACCAATAATAAACTGCTTATAGTAGTGCCTCTTTTCGGAGGAATCAGTCATCTCTATTCGAAATCAAGACGTTATAATGAAGGTCATTGGTACCATTATGCCAGAGGTCATTCCCAGAGTGTTATGACTTTCCGATCAATATACTAAGCTTCGTACAAGACTAGGCTTGTTCGTTTGTGTTTGCTCTACCTGCTAGACCAATTTTTTCTCTATCTTTTAACAATGGAAACAGAATCAAGTCTAGGTCTAGGATCCAGGGATTTTTATAGCTGCCGCCGGTGTGGTGCTGCTCACAGCAGAATATAACTGGCTAAGTGATTATTGGTGACTGTGTAAATGTATACTGATATGTCAGACCTCAAAGATATATATTCATTGACTACTGCTTGAATCAAAGTGATGACAAATCCAATTTGGATCGAGCTTCATCAGCTCGATCAGCTGAATCATACGACTACCTGAAATGATGTTGTGGGTCATCACTTTTTGGTGTCCCACTACGAACCAAGAGTCTCCCTTGTTTTTCATCTAGCTGACCTTGCTCTGAGCTGTAGCTGTCCTCTAAGGGCTGTCGAATGACCTGCTTTGTCTGTTTCGGCGGCCGGGGCTAGTCGGGTATACGATGAGAGATATCCGCTATAAATGGAACGCGGGAAAAAAGAGCGTCGGCATTAGCAGCGAAGTGGAGCTGCCACAGTTCCGGGTGCTGGGCCACAGACAGCGCCAAACCGTGATACATCTCAGCACAGGTAATTTGGCAACGTGGGATGCGATCTAGACATGAATTCATTTCCACCTCAGTTTCGTCCACCACCAGTTACAGGTTATTAATCCGTTTCTTCATGACATGCACATCGCTACGGTGGAATTGAATTCTTGCGCGATTCAGAGAGCGTGCCATAATGAAGTGTGATCTGAAGGTCACCCAAGAGATCAACTGCTTTCAGAACATGATGTGTAATCTTAGAACCAGCTAGGCGCGTCAAAACTGAACCCGAAAAACTGCCTAGCAAAGTTACACGAGAAGCTTAATCTTTCGACGTATTCTCATCTCAGAATCTTTATTGATCACAGAATATATAAAATTATCAACGAGGCCATTCGGGTCCAGAAGAAGGGAAGAAATCCTCGAAAGCCTAGCTCATTAGTACGTCAAAGAACGAAGTGGTTACAACTAACCAGCCAGGCTCCACAGTTTCTGCAAGAAGTACTCAACAAATGAACACGAATCTGAATATATTTCATGATGTTGAAATGTCGAAAGATTAAAGGCTCTCATGTAACGACTGTCATCGCTAGACAAATTCACTTGGTGCCTCAAGACGTGTCTAGGTTGTTCAATGAGCAGTTGCACCCCAAATATACATGTTGTAGTTGCTCAAGTTGATGTTGCTTTCACCGTCTTTTGGAAACCAACAAAGAAAGTCGGTGTCTTATATAAAACGAAAGCATGTGGACTAAGAACATCTCGCCTGAATGTAAATGAGAATTGGATTACTAATGTTTAAGACAATTCAAAACTGTCACCATCATGGCTGCATATGATATCAACATTTCAAATTTTGAGTTGATAACACCCCATATGTGTGAAAATAGGATAGATATAAGGAAAGTCTGATGCCAATGACATCAATTATTATAATCTTCATTCATGTCAAATATTCTTTTGATAATGATCTTGAAAAAAAAAATTTGTGACTTTTAAATGACGTCAAAACTCTCTCGGTACCATTTATTGTTGAGGGAAGGACACATTTTGATCACTGAAATGAAAACAAGTATTATCTGCCGCCGCTTTCAATGATAAAGAACAGTTTTTTCGAAAAACGAGAAGTATTTTGTTCTGGGTCTTGATTCAAATATAGATTCAAAAATGAACTTTAGTTATTTCTTTACTTCTTGACAAGTAATTGATGGGATGTAAAGAAATATTTTTAGGAGAACCCAGATGTTTCAATCTAGACACTCAACATATTTTTTTCATCAGCAGCAGAATCAGATATTGTATGTCTATCACAAAGAGATCTGTCTGTTTCTATTTTGATTGCTCCACAGAGATGAGGTGCATCAATATTGAATTGTCAGGGGTAATACCACGACTGCTTGCAATACCATCGAATGTATTTCTATCAGAAATCAACAAAATCGAATTGCTTTGTAACACAACTCGTCCTACGGACTCGTGCTGTTACCTCAAAGCCATTCGATTCTGATAGAATTATCGATAGTATGATGAGCACGAATCGCAGTTATTGAGACAATCCCACAATCTACATGGAACCATCATCTCCAAGTCATACCAGGTGATAAGATATTCCTTTTAGATACGTGGTTGGCGTGACAAGGAAGAAATACTTAATGAAACCAAAACCATGTTATGTGTTATTCATCACCTTACTGTTACTGGGTGACAGCACTGATACACCACGGTGATAATGTTCACTGCAATTTTTCTAGACACAAAAGTGTCAGGCCTTGTTTTACGAAACCCTGCTATCCAACTCCGCTTCTCCCAACGTCTCTCTGTATTTATTTCTTTTCACTCCCCCCACCCTGTAAACTGCGGCTGCGCGCGTTGTTTCGTTCTGCCTGCGCAGTCTCGCACCCCCACACACACTGGCTTGTGATTGCAGTCGGTTATACCATGCGGGACATCCGGTATAAGTGGAACGAGGGCCCCAACTCGGTAGGGGTCTCCAATGAGGTGTCGCTGCCCCAGTTTAAGGTGCTGGGCCACAGGCAGAGGGCCATGGAGATCAGCCTCACCACAGGTACCTCGTCTGGGAGACGGTAACACTTTGTAGAACGTTCCAAATAATCATTCCATCCCATTCTGAAGCGGTTGACAATGCATCGTATAACAAAAGATATGTCTCGAGATTACTTTTCTGATGGTGAATGCATGTACAGAACGTGATCCAAAAATAAGTTACAACCAGTAACTTAATTGTTTTCGATGGAAACACTATTTTTCATCTCATTTTCGAATATCCCATCAAATGCTTAGTATATTTCATGTACCATAACTAGGATAGAACATTTCATTAGCTGAGATCGATTTATAGAAGGAAAACATCACAAAGAATTAAACTCACTATTATCGACTCGATTTGTGGATTTTTGGATTCTTGTAAGGTAACTGCGTCTCAATTATCGATACTGTCACAATAATCCACATTTTTGAACTAAAAATCAAAAAAAGACTCTGACGCTTCCTTCATCTATTATCTTACCATAATAAGAAACGAGTAGGTTCTTTCTACTTTCCCTAAAAAGATCGAGTCCGTAAGGCAGTAAATATGAATTTCATAGATCATTCAAATTCTTCATTCTGTCACTACACTTGAATTGATACAAATCCTTGTCCAAAGTGCTAAGAGACATTGATTATGGTAGTTTCAGCTAATTTTTCAGTTTCATGAAAAAGTTGTGAACATATATTCAGAGGCTGGAATTCTTGTTTTTCACATTGATTTGACATAAAATAAGTGTGAATTTATTACTCATACTGTCGATAACTGGTACATAAATTTTTTAAGTTTGTACCATATTATTTGGACATAGTTGTTTGATGAATAGTACAATATAGCTTTCTCTTTCCCTATGAATATTCAAATAGAGAAAGAAATTGGTCTTGTTCTGTTTGACGAATTCAGAAGATATTATAATGAGTTGAAGCTGTACTAGTTATTGACTGACACCCACTTTATGGCTTTATTAGGGAGGTAAACTTTTTTATTTTGTGTGTGGTTCTTTGATACAAAGTGAGTCGATAGCTGGTACAGTATTTTTTCAATAGAATCAAATATGAACAACGCTAAAATATTACAGTACTCGACTGTAATGTACTGAACTACAGATAAAAGAAGGAAACAAACGGAAGCGGAAGGAGAGAAAGGTTAAAAAGGAAAAATTGAAAGATAAAAAAATTAAAGATCCTCGATCAATGGTGAAATCAACTTTGATGGGTATAGAACCGAAAAAAGATGAAAGAGCATCAAAATATGACGGGATGACATTCTTTTGGTATAATGTAATGAGATTCTTCAGAAAATTAGGGAACCAAAAAAACATAATGAACGCGGACTCTTCAATGTTCGCCAGAGATTTCTGATCAAGTGGTTGAGAGTACCTATATACTCATGCCTATCTGACTGTTTTGTGCATTTCGTTCTATTTCAATGAATATGTTGTAGCTACGCAACTGAGATTCATTTCGTATCGATATTAGGTACGTCACAAATTTTCTCATGTCGATGATTAGGTCAAATGGAACTTTTCAACTATATATGTTTTCATAAATGAAATATCTGTATTGCTATATGAAATTTGGACATTGTATAGTGATAATCACTATTATATTAATTCACAGAGAAGTTTTTGAAGCCATCTCCTATATTGAAATTTTTATTCTCATATAAAGTAGCAAAAACCTCAGCAGAACATCCAATTTTCTTTGGGTCCATGAATTCCATTCGCTATCAAGTCATATTATGAACAACAATTCGGAAATGAGATAGGAAATACCGTGTTTCGGTGGGTAACGTATTTTTGGACCACCCTGTATCTGAGCATTTCATCAGAAAACAAGCAAATCATTGTTCATGAGAAATAAGAATCAATCACTAGAAAATATAAAATATTCCACCTCATATTTTCCTATCATATATTAGACCTACAGATGATGGAGACTTTAACTGGGCAAGTGAAGGATTTTTCTGAAAATTCACGAGACATGCCAACGTTTGAATGTATTTACCTACATTTAGCAAGCAATATGCAGGATATATCCCTTCAGGAGTAGTTGGAATCAACCCCAACATGTTTTTCAATGTGCAACCCTATGACTTGCGACCCCTTATTGAAAAGCTGGTTGAAAGAGGAATCAAGCGTAGGTACTATCATATCCCAGTTTGCAGTACGTTTGGAAGCCGCATACAATCAAAATATAATTTCGAAGTTCAATATACTGTCACGATTAAATGGATGGTTATCATCACCATGTTATGATAAAAAAGATGGTTAATCCCATCCATATCGATTTGAAAGGGGTAATGCTTGGCTTAATATTTTGCGAGAGGAAATATTTAAATAGGCACTAATAGTTTAGGGGTAACTGAAAGTACGAGATTACATTCAAACATAACAATATTTATAATAGCATGAAACATTATGGGTGAAGTGATTATAAATATGAATGAACAACAATGAATATAAAGACTGAATAACAACTTACATTATAACGACTATCACGACGAGCTCTTGTCAAGTCAAGAGTAGCCTCAGACCAGACTAACTTCGGAACCCTCACCTCCAATATTTATATACATCATTTTATTAGAAATGCACGTTTCTCATGAGAGTTCCTTGGTCAGTTTTTATAATTCAATGTCAACGGATGATTTGATTTACTTTATGTTTATAAAACCCTCATGGTTCGAAATTACTGATATACCGTATGTTCTACTCGTGACAATACTTTCAACCTAATCTCATCCAATTTTCGACTTCTAGTGACAGTGATATAAGGCATTTCCACGGGTTTGCAATAGCACTTCATTTCGAACTGTGGATACGGAAAAAAACTGAATTTCTTTTTGCGGCTCTTAATAAAAACACAGGAATACAAGAGCAGATAGCAGTTGTGGCAAAAATTTCCGTCAATAAAATTGTACAACACACATTTTGAGCGATTGATGCATTTCAATTTCACGCACCTTTCAAACGTATAGAATACTAAAATCTGACTAGTACGCTGGATTTCTCTTTCCACCAGCTTCCCAATGATGGGTCACAAGCCATATGGTACATTTAAGAAAATCATGTTGAGATTTGTTTCAGCTACCCCTGGAGGAATATATCCTCGATATTGCTTGCAAAAGGTAGGTTAATACATTGAATCATTGACGTTTGTTGGGAATTTTTAGAAAATATATTGACCTTCCCGCTAACGAATTTATTCCAGTCAAATACAAGTGGTTCAAAATGAAGAAATATTATATTCCAGTCAAAGTCTCCACGCTGTATATACAAGTGGTTCAAAATGAAGAAATATCATATAACAAAAATCCAGTGAATATAATCGATCAGTTCTTTTGGTCCTCATCCCAGCCATTGTTGCGTGGATTTGTCAACTGAATATCTCATATTGGACATTTCTGAAAGGGACATTTTAGATTGTGTGATTAATATTTCATATCGGTCAGCACTACAGCACTAGGTTTCACTTCAAGTGCTGTTCCCAATATCACACGTTACATTTTCTTCAATATAATCGATCACCTGAGCATATCTATATGATTATTATTTTTATAGTGCACGATATTATTTCCTTGCATGTTATAACAAAACACTTGAGCATGAGAAATAATTAGGGATGGGTAAGGGAAGAATCCTTATAACAACTAGCAAATTTGTAATCAAGTTGTTTAGGAGAGGTCTTGATGTACAATGATTGTCAGTCTTACTTTCACTAGGGAGGGCGCCAGAAATAATCCTTAAAGTTTTGACACTTCAAAAAAACTATTTCAAATTTATATGTTGCAAATGTGGGAGAGCAATAATATACAACTTTTCAACAACAATAGTAACAATTTAATCAGTATGTTAGTTCAGCTCACAATCGGTAATTTCGACTACAATTTTTCAACCGGAGTTAGAAAAGTTAGTTCAAACAATTTAGTAATTAATCAAGAAATTTAAACAATTCAAAAATTTTACGAAAAGCTAATAAAAAAATAGGAAGGCTGAATAGGATTGAAAAGATATACTGCTGTTCAGTTTGACACCTTGAAATTACTCTGGATAGTGGTCAGAGAATACCTGGTAGCTTCCACACGGATTTACTCCTGTCTCAAGACTGGTAGAACAGGCCTCCTTCACAGATATACCAGCAAATATAACTGCTAGGTTGATGATCTAACTGGCAAGGCTCTAGGACTGGCTTTTCAGGCTACCTTTAGAATATCGACATCAGGTTTCTCTTCCCCAAAAACCGTGAGCTGGTGATTGAGCTGCACACAGGTAGTTGGTCTTCTTCAATTGTGGTTGTGTCTCACAAGGTGTGTCATGAAATAAACGTGAAGCAGTATGAGCAAGATTCAGAGGAGGGATGCAGGAATGGAAGAAATAATCCAAAGTGATACAACTAACTATGGATCCAATAATTAGAAATTTTTATATGAACTTTATATAATATGAAATGATAATGTATATAAGGAAATATATAATCTACAAGAAAATAAATTTATAGAATCGATTCTATGAATTATATCCTACGATTTTTACAAATTTTAACTGAGAATAAAAAAATAGTTTGACTTATTGAAATTTATTAAGTGATTGAAATTGCTGTGGTAGGAAAAATTGTACTCTCAATATTTTTTTTTCAATTGAAAGAAAATGACTGATAATAGTAAAAATTACTGATGATACAAAATTACTGATTAGGTACAAATTATGACCATGGACTGAAATGGTACTAATTAAGTATATCTGTTACTTAAACAAATAATGTTCAAAGGAAACTTTCCATGAAATAGCAAAAATTGTCTTAAATCAATTGGATAAAATTGATATCACTCAATATGTGAAGATTCTATTCGAAAGAGTGAAGTACTTCTTCAAAAGTGAGGAAAATAACATCAAATAATTGATAGTAAATTTGAAAATAATTCCAGATAACGAGGCACTTCTAGAAAAATGAGGAAATTATATCAAGAAAATTGATAACTATTGAGAAAAATTCACATAAAATATTCCACAAAAAAAA